TCGTAGCGCTGCCAACCTTCAACAATTGCTCAAACAGACCACATCAAGTGATACGAGCCCGGCTTCAGAAGCACCAGAATCCGAAGTGACTTCATCGATTTGGCCAACGGCCAATATGTTCCTCAATCAATACAACATCCTGAATGTCAGCAACTTGGCTGGGCTCCAGAATGTCTTTGAGGTGAGTCCATTCCAGGCACAGCGACCTCACGATCAGTACTTAGTTCATCCCATTGTAGAGTCAAACGGATGCCGACGATACGATGAGCCTGGCGTCGACCGATTCGAAAAGGAACAACTTCCGGATAAACAAGGTACTATTTGACGATCACGCTCTCTCCGACGGCACAGCAAGAGCATGTTTACAGTTGGTGGAGGAAGAAGGCCTGTTTGCGTGTGATCAATGTGACAAGATGTTCGGCAAGCAGAGCTCCTTGGCAAGGCACAAATACGAGCATTCAGGTACTGTAGACCTTCTCACAGCTTCCTGGGAGTCCCATATTGTTCGTTGGGCGTTTGTTTGTATTGTTCGCTGGCGATTACGTAGCGCAGATAATCTCGGATAATTAGAATACGGTGTCAGATGGTGGTGGTACTCTGTCTGCTCGTGCCTCCACCCCTCCCGTTATTCCCCGGTGCTCATCTCCTCCCTCAATTACCGATTGTATTACCACAAACGCGCGCTTCTTACACCATATCCGATTAGGATTGCGAGGGTTTTGTGCTTTAAAGTGCAATATGATATAGCACGGAAATGATGCCACGTATGGGAACGACAAGATGGTCGCACTAGCAAGCTGATGCTAAGCTTTCGGTCATAGGGATGTGGGGAGCCATTTGAGTGGCTCACTGTTATGAGAACCAAGATCTCTGATCTCAAAAATGCTGTAACTCTTACGATCAGATCATACTTTGCAGTTCGGCTTGCGATTGCAAATTCAATGCGATCGCATGATCGATACGTATCTTTTATTCACTGCAAGCCAAAATGCAAAGTATGATTCGACCCTTTATCAGTAAGATAAAGTGACGGGTTCTTGTGGTGCTCTGATGAGCACTAAAAGCTCTGCCTCAGTGGAATGATTTTAGCAGTGTGACTCGTCATTGTTTTGAAATTTCGAAAAAGCGGCAATTGAGTTGGCAAAGGGCAACCGATGTGTCACTGCCGAATTACCCATGCTCGTACCAACCGTTTCCTTGCCTCCGATCTTCTGTACTTTCGGGTACATGTGAAAGACTGTCCTGGCAACCCATCGCTCGAACAGGCTCCCCACATTTCCCTGATCAATCACCAAAGGTATAGATAGGAAGCTGGGTGAAAAACCCCCGACTAGCGCACCTGCGTCCGCGGTTTTTCAGTCGTTTTTATGTGTTGACTGGCCAAATGTTTTCGACCTGATGACGATGAAGCGGCAGCGGCGGCGGTAGCCCCGCGCGCTCAGCTCAGCCGGAAAGGACTCTCAGAAAGAAAATACTTATGTGTTGCGTTTTCAGGTGTGGTTCCAAAACACTCGAGCCAAAGAACGACGCGGCAATCGCCTCCCCCCTCTTGGTCGGATGCCATGGCCATTGACAACGGCCACAACCTCACTTCCACATCAGAATGCCGCCCAGATCATGTCCGCTTGGGCTCAACAGTACTCTTCCTTTGCGTCTCAGGTTAGTGCTGCTTTTTCTTCCATGTATCCATCCATGTCCGCCAGACACCTTTATTTACATAAAACCGGGGCTCAGGTGGTATTTGGGGCCTAACTAATTTGGGTCTCATCCTATTACCTCGCCATTCGCAGCCGCCAGATGTGGGTATTCTTGAGTAATTGTGTGACCCTCGCTGACCCTCCTCCTCCTCCGTCGTCCTCCTCATCGTTCGCAGTAGTTTAAGTGGGGAAATCGAGTTGCTGCCATTAATTGTCTCGGGCCTAATTAACAGGTACCGTCATAAATTCGGCCGGACGACGAGCTGTCATGATGATGATGATTTCTGACCTGATCATCATCAGGTCACAGAAGCAGCTCGTTATCGCCGTAGTCGTTTCATGGGATAACTGGGAGTGTTTGAGTGGGAACAGGATGTTTAGGTGGCGGTTTGATGTGTCGTCCGAGTGAAATCAACGATGTTTCCAGGCGGATCAGCAATCAGCCGATGAGTCAGCGAATCAGAAGGAGGAGGAAAGTGTCGTTGACGATGACAAATCGAACACCCCACTTGACCTTACGGTGAAAGACGAGGTCGACCATGACTGGAGCCCTGAAAAGCTCATCGGTACGTTTCACGTGCCGAAATCCTGATTCACCGCTGTTTTGGGAAGCAAGGAAGAATTCAGGGAGAATCGATTGTTTTCTGAAGTTACCCCATTTTCAGGTCTTGTTGATCGTAGCGCTGCCAACCTTCAACAATTGCTCAAACAGACCACATCAAGCGATACGAGCCCGGCTTCAGAAGCACCGGAATCCGAAGTGACTTCATCGATCTGGCCAACGGCCAATATGTTCCTCAATCAATACAACATCCTGAATGTCAGCAACTTGGCTGGGCTCCAGAATGTCTTTGAGGTGAGTCCATTCCAGGCACAGCGACCTCACGATCAGTACTTAGTTCATCCCATTGTAGAGTCAAACGGATGCCGACGATACGATGAGCCTGGCGTCGACCGATTCGAAAAGGAACAACTTCCGGATAAACAAGGTACTATTTGACGGTCACGCTCTCTCCGACGCACAGCAAGAGCATGTTTACAGTT